CAAAAGGAAGATTAAAATGTACAAATGAAGCAATCATAGCAATACAACAGAGCATAGTAAATTAATATTTAACTGCATATTTGTTTTATCATATCCTTTCCTCTCCTGTCATCATATCACTTGAGATGGTGAAAGGCAAAGGCAGGATAATGTTAGATCCAGGAAGGATGCCAAGTCCTCGGGATCTAACCAAGATCCAGAACCTACCTAGCTCTGAATCCGATTCCCTAGAGAGCTACACTTAGAATCTTGACTTTAATTTATTATAATCTAATAAATTATTAGCATTTCAATAAACAACATTTAAATCCCTTAACAGAACTAAAAAATATTTTTCAATAAGAGTACTATTTTCTCAAAGAAGAAGCAGCAAAGAATTATCTATGACAAACTTTATGCCTGATAAGGAGGAAGGACCAGCATTTTCTTTCACTATCAGCAGGAACGCAAATTAGTATAGCCTTTTGGATGACAGTCTATTAAAAACTTGAACTGTATGTGTCATTTGATCCAGCAGGTATACTTGCACAAAATTTTTAAAGATATACTCATTTGTTTACCCCAGAATGTACGGGGGATATGCTATGAAATGAAACAGATATGATTCTTCCCTGATAGAGCTCACAGTCAAGTAGTGCAAAAAGGCAATAAAAGCAATCTGACCAACGAAAAGCAACTTAATGTATGGTGCTAAGACTGATACACAAAGCAAATTGGGATGACTGATAAAAAAAAGATGCCCACGTGTGGGATGTAGGAAGCAAAGACTTCTCTGAGAAGGTTGTATAAGCAACCATCTGATGAGTGAGAAGAAGCCAGCCAGGAGAGAAAGAAACGGAGTGAAGGCCTAAGGCAGGAAGATTGCTGAGGGTTTTTGGAGAACAAAAGAAGACACAAGCAAGAGGGATGGAGTGTGGGATGTGGTTGGAAGGGAAAACAGAATCAATCAGACAGTTCCTTGTAGGTCTTGACAGGCATTGTTGCTTCTGTTCCAAGTACACTAGAAGCCATGATTCTTTTACAAGTAGCACTCAAGGTGCCGAGGGAGAGGTGGATTGGGCGAGAGACAAGAAAGGAACAAGAGCTCAGTTACCGGTCCATTGCCTGAGCTACATGAGAGATGCTCAGAATTTTGCTAGTACAGAAGCCCATAGAGGTGGGAACTAGATGGGTTTCAAATACATTTTCTAAATAGTTCCCAACTTTTCAATTTCAGGCAAACCATAAGAAGCAAAGAAAAGCTATCCCTAAAGAAAACTCTTTGCTGGAGTAAGCACGCCGTGCATTTGGAAAATTCCTCCTTCATCCTTATTACCTGACAAGAAAATTCCCACAAATAAGCAATTGACTAATTAGATTAAATCAAAGCAAAAAGATGTTGACCCTGGTCCACAGCTTATGTAAAAAAATTTTAGCGTTCACGCATAACTACCCATCTGAACTTTGGGCTTCAATCAACATATGCTAAAAATTACAAAAATCTTTTTATTTCTTATTTTCTTAATTTTTATTTAAATTCTAGTTAGTTAACATACAGTAAGTGCAATATTGGTTTCAGGAGTAGAATTCAGTGATTCAGCACTTAAAACACTCAGTGCTAATGGCAATAAGTACCCTCCTTAGTACCCATCACCCATCCAGCCCATCCCCTACCCACCTCCTTCCATCAGTTTGTTCTCTATTGTTTAACTCTCTAAGGTTAAGAGTCTCTTATGATTTGTTGCCGTTGCTCTATTTTTTCTTTTTTCTCCTTCCCATAGGTTCATGTGTTTTGTTTCTTAAATTCCGCATGAGTGAAATCACGTAGTATTTGTCTTTCTCTGACTGACTTATTTCACATAGCATAATATACTCTGGCTCCATCTATGCCATTGCAGATGGCAAAATTTCATTTTCAATGGCTAGTATTGCATTATACACACTCTCCATACTGTTCTCCAGAGTGGCTGTATCAGTTTGCATCCCCACTAACAATGCAAGAGTGTTCCCCTCTCTCTGTATCCTCACCAGCACTTGTTTTCTTGTGTTGTTAATTTAACCATTCTGACAGGTGGGAGGTGGTATCTCATTGTGGTTTTGATTTGTATTTCCCTGCTGATGAGTGATGTTGAGCATCTTTTCATTACACAAATCTTTTTAAAGAAATAATTCTAGGAATCACAGAAGCATGGTGAACCACGTTACACACCATCTAACAGGAAATTGGATTAGCAGTTCTATTTTCACTAATAAAGCGCAGACTGCTCTCTGCTGATGCACATTTATTCCATTCTCTGACTTTTCTGCAGACCTTCAAATACGATCATAATGGAAAAGGTCTGATTTCCATTACCTTAACAACACAGAGTGACAGATCACAACTGCCACAGGCATTTCAGGATGTATAATTTTGTTAATGCATTATTTGTGGAACTAATATTTTAATTCATGAATTTTTGAATATTGAAGATTAAATATCAAAAAGTAGTGATGTCTGACATATAAAATATATTACATACATGTTTCCAGTCAAACAAAAACCACTGAAGGTTTGCCAGTGAAGGCAAAGTCTCATTAACATTCTCTACTTGGTGATTAATAGAACTGCTATAGATAATGAGTGTCAGAAACATTATGGAAACCTTGGGATTCATTGCCCACTTGAATAAATATTCATTCTTATTGCTTCACTCCTTATGCCATGGTTCAATTTTTAGCAAACTGAGGAATGGCTTCTTTAGCTTTTTAAATGTGTGATGTGTCCTACTGTCCAACTGTTATACTTTCAACATGGCGCATCAATTGAATCACAATACACACATACAATGACGCTCCCTTTTAATGATTATGATCCTTATTGTTATGCTCCTCATTTTAATTTCAGCTTCTTGAGTAGAAGCCAGTTTCAAGTTGGGCTTAGGTTTCCAAAGTCATTATTCATTGAATAATAACATAACCACTCAACAGAAACCACCAGAAAATCCTTCCTTCTTTCCTTTTCACAAACAAATGAAATGGCAAGTAACAATACTGCTTAGTCCAAAGATGTGCAAATACACTCCCTAGCAGAAGTAATCTCCACTACTTTCCCATCACCATCCAAATCCGTCCCCAACAACACAATGTGTTATTACCTTGCTGAGGTCTCAAATCCTCCGAAGAAAAGGAGGTGTTGACTTAAAGCATGACAAGAGCACATAGAAGATGAGAGAACACTGCCTGCCTTTAGAGTGCACAATGGATTTGTCGTGGATTCTACAATTCTCCTTGACTGGGACAGGTAGATGGAGCCAGTCTGCAACAGGCCAAGTCTGGTATTTTACTTCCTACAAGGGTGCCCACAGCTTTTATACACCACCTGATCAAGAGTCTGTAACTGGTATTTTAAAATACAAAAGTAGAATACTTCCTTATCTGTGTTCAGATGAATGATACTTAACATTTTTAAGCCCTAATTAATTAAAGTTGTCAAAGAACTAGAGTTTTAGGAAAGGTAAATCAGAACAAAGTCAGTCATATCTAGAATTTAGATTCAATGCAACTTATGGGTATATATAGGAATATCATACTTCAGTGCTATCATCTTTTTCATCTTTTGTCTTTAGTACAATACTTTGAAGAATTACACAATATGGGGTGCCTGGGTGGCTCAGTTAGTTAAGCATCTGACTTTGGCTCAGGTCATGATCTCACGGTTCTGGGTTCGATCCCCGCGTCCGGCTCCGTGCTGACAGCTAGCTCAGAGCCTGGAGCCTGCTTCGGATTTTGCGTCTCCCTCTCTCTCTGACCCTCCCCTGCTCATGCTGTCTCTCTCCCTCCCTCTCAGAAATAAATTTAAAAAAATATTTAAAAAAATAAAATAATAAATCTTGTTATGTATATTTTAACACAATTAAGAAAAGGGGAAAAAAAACCCAGGAGATTTTGCTCATGAGGTGGGTTTTTTCCCCCAACTTTTAGACTACAAAATCCCTTCTGCCTAAAATACTTTGATTAAGTGATTTTCCTGAAACTAAAGAGCCTCCAAAACCTGATGCATAAATACTTACAAAGATAAAATCGTTCTTCTACCAAACCTTTCCTTAAGTATCCTGGAATGTTGAAAAGTGTTTTTAACTCTAGTGTCATAAGCAAATTAAAATGGTGCTGGTAGGTTGTCCCTTACCCACTAAGTTAGGCTGGAGTTCAAATATTTAGAAATGCATAAAAATACGGCAGTAAGCAGGTTGACTGCTCTGGAGGAAATCTTTTGAGTAATAAGAAGTGTACAAAGATAACCTCTTTCACTAGGCAACCTACCTTTTAAAAAAATTATAAACAAAAAGGAATACAAGAGGAAAGATGTCATCTGATTATTATCAGGGAACTGATTTTGCAATGCATTATTTATATATTTCAAATATCCAAAGGTAACATGTAACTGTTTACTCCCATTTTATTCCTAATTATTTTCAATTACTTCTAATATTTTTCCAAATGTTTTTCAATTATTACTAATTGTTTTTCAAAACCTGCATCAATAGTTGCTTAACGTGACAGTTTTCTTCTTTGGCTTGGTATTACTTTCAATAAAATATATTATTACTTAACACTGATGTTTCGCCTAACTTTTAATCTACCCACATATATACTCAGGCTGAAAATAAATGCTCTTGCAAACAAGTTAGGTTTTAGGGATTTTTCTGTTTCGTTTTGCTTGTCAGTTTTAATTGTAACCTTGAATAAAAGCTAACTAGATTCTTTTTCAGTGTAGTCAGGGCTAGCTTTTGCACTTCCACACCATGATTAATTTATTATTCATCTGGGACCTTCCTATTAAACCTTGTCTTTAGCCTGTGAACTCTTCTTTCAGCTTCCAACAAAGGATTTCATTGCTTTTGGAATTGAGGTGTGTCTAAGTTTTTACCTGGAGCAAAAGTGATGCAAGCGTTTCTGGTGAGACCAATCCTTGGTTTAGGGTGGGGAGGAGCCGCATAACAGGCCGGCTGTAGACTCCAGAAAGTAGAGACGCGACCAAAGGGCTTTTCTTAGACATCCTATGCAGACAGTTGGAAGGGCTGAAGCGGCAGCTCCCTTGGATTTGTCCACCAGGGAAATCAGACACAATGACTTGGCTCCTTTTCAGAACGTCCAGGGCTCTGGCCATTTTAATGGTAAGTCCAAAATTTTTTTCAAATAATAGCCACTTTCCCTGTTTCCTTCCTTGTTTGATAATACAGTATTTGACTGCTGAATCCCTACTATAAATTTTAAAAAGAGTTCAGTAAAAATAAACACTTTAGAATGACCTTGTAAAGATGACCAATTTCCTCCTCTTGTTGGATATTGATGTTGTATTTTACACAGAAAATAAACCAGAGAGAAACAGAATTTGAAAGTCGACATTTAGCATTTCTTTAGGTAATGAATTAATTAATCGTGATCTCAGATCCATTTTCTACCACACTTTCACTTTCTTCAAAGTAATGTTTTTAGTCCTCTCTCTAATACACAAACTGAAACACATGAAAGAGAACCAGGTCTATTTTCCAAGGTTACCTATCTCTTCGGCGTATGGTTAAGAACTGTACATGCCTGGTCTTGATACCTGACTTGTTTTTAAAATAGACCATTGAATTAAAATCAAAGCAATGCTTGACTCCAGGGAAGTTGAAAGGGTTATTAAGAAAACAATGTTTATGTTTAGCTTTATATGCAAAAAATATACCAACTTTAGGGGACAAAAAAATACAACATTTTATAAGCCACTTTTTTTCAGGAGAATAATACTTTTGTTGGTAGAGAAAGATTTATACAATGTTACCTAAAAAAAAAGAAGTGGAATCTGGAGAGCAAAGCACTAGCCTGGATATTACAGACTACTTTGTTTCTTAACTATGTTGTTTTGGTGAAGGGGAAAAAAGCCATAATTGTATCAGTGACACTAAGATACCAAAATAGTGACATACACTATAAATGAATATTTTAAAAATTCCTAATACTAATTCCCCGCTTCACAATAAACCACACTGGCCTCGGCATTGGTTTCCCTCACCTCCTCATCTAAAAAATTAAGATGAGCATTGGACTTCAAGATGTTACAGGAAGACAGATCTCAAGAAAGAACTTCCTAAAAATTAAAAGTGTCTAAAATTAGAATTGGCTGCCCTGTGAGCCAGTTTCCAAGCCTTCCCTCTCACCACAATGCCCAAGCAGAAAGTTGGTATCCTTCCTTTTGTTAGGGCCTACTTTTATTATAACAGTGTAACTAATCCTTTTGGTTATCTAATGAGTTTATTTGATCCATGAATGTTATAAAGACTAGTGAGACAATTGTATGACTTTCCCACCTTTCCAGATGGTCATTTCCCGACTAAACCGCAAGTAGCCTTATAACGCACATGTCTGTGCCAATGATCAAGTCATAAAATTATGGGAAAGGTGGCAGGGGGTGTCAGAAGGTATCACAAGGACACAGAACTAGAGTAGCAAAAGATTAAGCGAGCTCTTTTCCCTGTTTTGACATAGACCATTCTCAAGTACCCCTATGGTTCTAGAGTGACCATAAGATCCTTATACTATGGGCTGTTTCATTCATCTTTCTATCCCTAATGCTTACTATATAATGTCTCTCTTACAGTGGACACACAATTGTTTGAAAAATGAGGCCTCTCTAACCTATAACCCCCCACAGTGCCTCTATAATGCTAGTCATAAAGAAACTGAAATCTAAGACATTTTCTTCTAATGGAATGCAGTGTCAGTCAAGAGTGAGGTCAGCAAGCAAGGCTCCATAGACTAGGTGATATTTGAGCTGTTTTTGATTAGAACAGATAGGCCAAGGGATACCTTGAGTTGTCAGACCAGCATGAACAAAGGAAAGAGTGATTACAGCATTTACCTAGGGGCAATGGACACACTGGTTTGGCTAGAATGACAGTTTGTGTTGGACATGAGTTGGAAAGGTAGATGAGGGTCAGACTGAAAAGTGCATTCTGTGAAAGCTAATCAAGTCCTTTTCGAACAGGGGAGACACCCCAAGTTTCGAAATGGTGTGGTGAGGGGAAAAAAATCCAATGTTTTTAAAAGCATTATGGAGTGAGAATGCACATCTTTTGTTGTTGAAGGGTGAGGTCTGAAAGCTGGAAGACATATTTGGAGATGTTGAATTAATTCCACCACCCTATGACCATACAAGGGTTGCCTAGAGAAGTGAGATACGACACCAAAGTCACGGACTTCAGTCTACACCTGTATGACTGACTCATTCCAGGCCTTGTTTCCTCAACTGTCAAATGACAATAATCAGAGCCCCTTGCTATGATAAGAATAAAGATGCAACAAGTGCAAACAAGTGCTCTGGAAAAGATAAAGTGGTTTGTAGGACTCTGATAACTTGTAATGTTTACATTAGTAATACAGGTGATTTTTGATAACTTGTTAAAATTCTGCCTTACTATTTTAAATAACCACCAACACCAGTTTTAACCAGTCAAGAAAGGACTTACATTTTTCTTGAGTGAAAGACCCTATCAAACTATGTCTTAAATTTGTATAATTGTGGGTATGAGAAAATAAGATTTTCAAACATGGAGCATTACTCAAAATTTCAACTGTTCAGCCTTCTAGATTAATTACTTGAGAGGCAAAAGTATGGGGAACACCTTCCTGCAGTCGAAGAAAACTGTAATAGTTATCAGTTTCCTGTGCATATTCGATCCATTTAATACAGCACAAAATAAACATTTTTGGGGGAAAGCCTGTGATTGAAAAACACTTATCTTCAGAGATTTTTACCTTTTAAAAATAATGTCTGTCTTCAAAGGAGACCATTGTCCACAAAATCTGCAATACAGTTTGTCATATAATACTATTAACATCTGGACAATAAGATGTTTAATTTTATGCTTCTATATTGTGTAAAAATTTACTCCCTGCAAAATTAATAGCGATGTTTGAAATCCAAAGATTTTTAAAGCACAAAGTTATAAGAAGTTAGTAGTAGTAGTTCTGGAAAAAACAAAAGTAGTTTAAATATCAAGGTCGGCATTAGAATGTGTTCTAAATATAGAAAAACTATCTTCAACCACCTTCTTCTACAGAACAAACAAAAAGCAAAATTTTAGAAAAAGAATTGTAAGTAAATGGCCCCAACTTTTTCTTGAAGTTTAATCAACACACAATATCCTATTAGCTTCAGGTGTACCCCATAGTGATTCAGTATTTTGGGGCATTACAAAATGATCTTCCTGATGAGTCTAGGTACATACAAACTTGTTACAATATCATTGACTATATTCCTTATGCTGTACATTACATTCCCATGACATATATTTTATAACCGGAAGTCTGTACTTCTTAATATCCTTCATCTATTTCACTCATTCTCCAACCCCTCCTCCCTCTGGTAACCAGCAGTTTGTTTTCTGTATCTATGAGTCTGTTTCTTTTTTGTTTGTTCATTTGTTTTGCTTTTTGGATTCCACATATTAGTGAAATTGCACGGCATTTGTCTTTGCTTGACTTATTTCACTTAGCATAATACCTTCTAGGTCCATCTGTGTTGCTGCAAATAGCAAAATTTCATTCTTTTTTATGGTTAAGTAACATCCCATTCTATCTATCTATCTATCTATCTATCTATCATCTATCTATCCATCATCAATCTATCTATCTATCCATCCCACATCTTCTTTATCCATTCATCTATTGGTGGACACTTAGGTTGATTATATACCTTGGCCATTATAAATAATGCTACAATAAATATAAGGGTGCACATATCTCTTCAAATTGATATATTCATTTTATTTGGATAAATATCGAGAAATGGAATTACTGGATCATACAGTCATTCTATTTTTAACTTTTTGAGAACTGTCCATACTGCCTTCCACAGTGGTCATACCAATTTACATTCCTACAAACATGAGGGTTTCCTTTTCCCCACATCCTTGCCTACTCTTGCCATTTTTTGTCTTTTTGATTATAGCCAATCTGATATGTGTGAGGTGTGAGATACTATCTCATGCATTTCCCTGATGATTAGTGAGCTTGAGAATCCTTTCATGCCTGTTGGCCATCTGGAGTCTTCTCTGAAAAAAAAAAAAAAACTCTATTCAAATTTTCTGCCTGTTTCTTAATTGGGTTTTTATTTTTATTTATTTATTTTTTTTACAAATAGTTTATTGTCAAGTTGGTTTCCATATAACACCCAGTGCTCATCCCCATAAGTGCCCTCCTCCATGCCCATCTTCCCCTCAGCTCCCACACCCATCACTCCTCAGTTTGTTCTCATCATTCAAGAGTCTCTCATGGTTTGCCTCTCTCCCTCTTAATTGGGTTTTTTATATACTAAATTGTGTGAGTTGTGTTTTGGATATTAACTTCTTATCAGATACATGATTTGCAAATATCTTCTTCCACTCAATAGGCTGATGTTTCATTTCATTAGTTTCTTTCGCTGTGCAAAAGTATTTAAGTTTGATGCAGTCCCACTTGTATATTTTAGTTTTTCTTGCCCTTGCCTGAGGAGACTGATCCAAAAAAAAAAAAATATTGCTAAGACCAATATCAAAAACCTCACTGCCTATGTTTTCTTCTAGAAGATTTATGGTTTCAGTTCTTATATTCAAGTCTTTAATCCATTTGATTTTTGCATATGGTATAAGTTGATGGTCCAGTTTCATTCTTTTGCATGTAGCTGTCCAATTTTCTCCACACCATTTATGAAAGAGGCTATATTTTTCCAAATCATACATTTTTGTCTCCTTCATTAGGGATTAACTGATCATATATGTGTGGGTTTATTTCTGGGCTCTCTTCCATTCAATTGATCTGTATGTCTGTTTTTGTGCCAGTACCATACTATTTTAATTACTATAGTTTTGTAGTACAGTTTGAAATCAGGAAGTGTGATCCTCTAGCTTTGTTCTTCTTTCTCAAGATCACTTTGGCTCTTTGGGGGCTTTTGTGTTTCCATAGAAATTTTAGGATTATTTTTTCAAGTTCCATGAAAAATATAAACAGCCCAAATTTTTAACAGAAGGAAAATCTTTGAGGTATCTTTCTTTCTCTTGATTAATGGAACAATCCAGTTTCCAGTGCTAATAAATATATGAAAATAAATTTCCCCCTGAACCTCTCCAAAAGTTAAGATTGTAAAATCGGAATA